TCTATGTTTTGTCTGTGTGGAGACTTCATCAGGAAAGACGATGTGACTCTAAGTTTTGTCCTTCACCTGATTCAGAAAGGAATTTATGTAATTTTTCATTAGATACAGTCTTTGAATCAGATTATTCATATTATAGCCAGATGTACAGCACATTCCCACAAACCTGGGGACAAAATTCAAGGGTATTGTGGATCAGAATTTTCTTTAAAACCTCCATCAGTAGCACCACAGGCCTACAATTATAGGGAAGATGTATCAGGAAATGAAAGAGAATACTTTTATGAATGCAGAGGAACACCTTCTATTACTAAATCCTTTTTCACAAGTACCTCTCCGTGGATAATTCCTTTTGATATCTCTGCAATAAAAGGTTATCAAGACCTTATGATGTTAAGCACTACCGCCACAATGGATATTGATATTTACAACACTCGATATTGCTTTGGGGGATTCACTATGGTAAAAAATAACCACCTAACAGCTGTAATAATGTGGAAAGGAGATCTTTACTATTATGATGGCATTAAGAATTCTCAAGATGACAGATTTCGACGCTTGGAAGACCAAGACTTTTTTGATCAGGAAGGATCTACTTTGATATACCTCAAACAGTGAACTTATCATAGTAGTAATTTTTGAACTAACAGTCAGACTATAATGATTGAGTTTATAACTAAAAATTAATCAGAACTAATTATAACCTTATTATAATAATTAATTATAAGAACTAAGAATTTATATAATTGTGTGTTTGTAGTGCTCCCGCTTATAGCCATAACGATTACTTCCTGTATAGGCGTAACTCCCGCTCCGTCTCCCGCTTTTTATCCGTCAACTCCCGCTCCGTCTCCCGCTTTTATCCGTCAACTCCCGCTCCTGATCCCGCTCCGTCTCCCGCTTTTATCTGGTCCCGTGGTAGGCGTGGTGTAAAGTGCAGAAATTAAAAATGGCGGATTTTCTGTCCAGCAAATACTACTCAGAAACTAAAGTTTTAAAGCTAAAACTCATCCTAGAAATTTTTGTGGTACATATCATTGTTTATAAAATGCTGTGACATGTTTATACATTGTAGAAGAAGACCTAGTGGTATAGAAATTACTGAAGAGGCTAACTGTATTAATTGTAATGGAAATCTTTTACTGAAAGTGAGTAAGATTCCTGCAGATGTACAAGCTAAAGGTGAGATTAGTTTGTTCTTTTTTTTTAGATTTTTTGAAGTGTGTCAAGTTATGGTTTTGTTTGTTTATGATTTGTTCATTTTGTAACATGTGCATGCTGAGCCTGCCAATTACATTCAAACAATGTTTAGATATTGCTTAATTTGATCTGCCATTTTATGATGGTTTTCCACAGAATATTGGCATAGTCCTCATGCATCCTCTGGCTCTTGTTCCAGCACTTTAGTACAGGGTATTTAGCCAAAAAATCTCAAAGAGGGAATTCTCTATTTTTATAATTTTCCCAATGCATACGCATGTTTTAATATTGTGTAGAATGTTTGAACTTCTGATCAAATTTAGATTTTTTTACAAATTTTTAAAGTTGCTCAAAAATCGTGCCAAATTAAGTGTCCTTTTATTTTTAGGTGGTCCTCTTAGTATCAGTGGAGAGGTAGCTCATGCCATCAATCTCAGTGGACTGAGGGAAGTGTGTATTAGGAGAGTGGATAAAGATGAAGTGACACTTGATTTGGTTGAATTCATATTTAAAGTGAGTTATGAGCATGAACTCTAGCAGTGCATGTACAAGCATGTGTGATACTTAAAACCTTTATTGAACCTACCAACTGTGATGGCTGTAACATCCCTTTCATAACCTGGTTTAGAGAAATCAGATTCAGATTGAATTTAGAGACTTTATTTTTGATAAAATAGATGAAAGTTCATCCTCTGACAGTCTTCAGGCTGATGTTGCTATAAGAGGTGTCTGGTAGCCATAGGGTACGTGCCTGTTTGATGTAAGAGTTATTAGTGATTTAATGATACCATAATGATGCAATGAGTCAATATTTGCAAATTATTGGGGCGAGCCTGAGCTTGCCCCACTAAGATGAGTAGGGGTCTTTATGTATGCATGGGCACGATACGGTGGTCTAACTATTATTAAAGTTAAATAGCCTAATCTTCCTTGAAAACGGGTGTGGTCACAATTAAAAAAATGGCGGCTATCAGCAAGTTTGAGTTTATTTGCAGCAAACTGTCGCCAAGGTAAGACTAAACTGCTGTCCAAAAGCTTCTCTAGCAATAAGGAAGGT